GCGTCAGACTTGCAAATCTTTTTTTTTAAAAAATAAAAATAAAATTAAACATTATAAATTAATTAAAATATTTTAAAATTAAAAAAATAAAATTCTTATAATTTTTTAAAAATTAAACAACATATATTTAAAAGTTTAGTAATAAAATTTAAATCTTGGTTAAAAAATAATTTATTTTTTATAAATACACAAACATAATAATTATAAAAAAATAAAAATTAATTTTAGAATAAATTAAAATTTTATACAATACACTAATATTTATTAAATTATATTAAATTAATTTTAGAATAAATTAAAATTAATAATAATATAATATGTGTAAGATCATGTGAACAGGTCATTAGCTTCAAATACGTGTTCCACCAAAAAAATAAAAAAAATAATATAATAGAATTTGAAGGGCTACCCAAGTCCGAGCCCTTTTTTACAGGATTTATTAAGACCAAGCTCTCAAATCTGATTATTTTAAAAAAAATATTTTTAAAACTCAAACCTTTATTTAAATAGGGTTTTCAAATCTGACTCTTTAAGTTCGATCCTTATTTTCAACTCTACTCTAAAGATATGTGAGAACTCATAAGAATCTTATTGTGCTTGTGTGGAACGAATCCACCATATACCGTGTGGATAAGTTGACACGTAAATTGCAATAAAAATAATTTACTGCGAGATAAGATGTGAACGCAGAGAGGCAAGTCTTGTTGTCTCAAATCTCAAATAAAATTGGAAGAGTGTAAATGTGAAAACTGAAAAGTCAACCACGCCGTCGGTTTCGCAAAATTGCGAAAAAGATTAAAGATTCTTTTCTCACGTTCCCCGAAAGAAGAAAATCAAGGATGGCACGTGTTTTATGCGGCTCTTGTGCTCCTTGGCTTCTCGAAATTGAATGCTCCATCATATTCACACTTTTTTTGGGTGCTTTTTTCGTTTTTAAATATTAAAAAATATTTAATTCACACTTTTAAAAAATTAATAAAATATAAGAATTTGTGTAAAATAAAAAAAATTAACTAAATTATTTTTGTAATTAATTAAATAAATTTGTCTAGTGTAATTAATATCGACTTTATGAAAAACAGTTTAAAAAATTATAATAAATATTTTTTTAAAATTTATGATTTTATTTATAAATAAAAATAAAGACACATTGTAATAGTTTCTTTTATATTTAGAAACAAAGGAAGTACCATCATATATCTTACTTGCCACTAGAAAAAAATATACTCTCTCCGTTTAAAAATGTAAGACATTTTTTGATGAGTTAGATGTTTAAAAATATAAAATTTTTTAATCTTTTAAGATATAATTATTACTTTTTTTTAAAAGTGTCCCTATTGATAATGACTTTATATTTATTATGGGGTGTTTAATAGAGGTAAATATAAAAAGATAGGATTAATTGTAAAGTAGGTAACTAATTTATTAAAGAGTAAAATTTGATTAAAAATATCTTATATTTTTAAACGGAGGGAGTATCTTATTCATTTTCTTCTAGAATATTTGTTAGTGACGTACTTTTTTTATATCATAGTTATAAAATAAAGTTAATTAATTTTAGCAGTTCTTGAGAAATTATAATTGATAACTTAACTAGTAAAAAATGTATGACTTTCTAATTTGTTAACTGAAATTAATAATCATGATAAAGTGTTATATAAAAATAAAAATAACATGCTAAAAACTTTTTTTGCAATTGATTAAGAAGAGGTAAGGTTGAAAATATTTTAATGGCAACGTCTTTACTTATACTAAGTGGAGTTTTAAAATTTTGGCATATGATGAGAACCAAGGCAGTATATTAGTTATATTTTGCATAAAATATGAAACATTAAATAGTTTTTTTTTTTTCCAAATCCACTCCTAGTAAAACTTTCCCAATTTTTTAAAAATTCAAACTCTTAAATAAGTGTAAATTTGAAATGTTATTTTATGCTTAAACTATTTTAATATATACTCTTTTCATTCAAAAATATAAATTTGAGGAGTTGAATATTACAAAATTTAAAATATTTTTAGTCTTTTGAGGTATAATTATTATTTTTTAAAAAAATATTTTTATTAATTAATGATTTTATATTTATTGCAGAATATTTAATAAAGATAAATATAAAAAAATTTAATTAATTTAAAAATAAATAATTATTTTATTAAGGAGTAAATTTGTATTAAAACTCCTTACATTTACATCTATAGACGGAGCGAGTAATGGAATGGAACAAGTAAAGCAGGAAAGGAGGCATGTCAAGACAAAAGCACGCTTTTTGGCGTTTGAATAACAAAGTCAAAGTAAGACCAAGAGCTTTCACAATCAAATTTGAGTAATCTGTAATGGCTGCTCCCCTGCTTTGTGTCTTGTTGTTGGTGCATTATCCCTTGTCTGTGAGGACAGCAGAGAAGCAACAAAGAGCGACGAACTAGTGCATTGGATGAAGACGATAACCGCAACGATTGAAGTGATGCAAACACTGTAGCATTGAAAAAAAATGATCATAAGGGGTGTATTTGATGCCAAGCAAAATACTACTCCGTCTGCCCTAACTATGATATATGACACCGGAACTTCACGATTTAAAAAAAAAAAGATAAAACCTTCATCTTTTTTAAAAAAACATTATATATATCTTTCCAATTATATATTTATAAAATATTTTATATGAATATCTTAATAATAATAATTAAAATTCTAATACATCATAATGCTAAAAAAAATTATATCTAAGCCCTTCTTTACAGCGGATTGTCATATAGTTAAGGCAAAATTCATGAAAGGAAACTATATAGCAATTATTCAAAATAATCACTGTATAATCTTGAAAGTATACATTGATTATTTCAAAAAACTGTTATATAGTTTATCTCTTTTTTAAAAAAATTTTGTTCCTATATAGCATTTTTTTTAAAATAATTGCTATATAGTCTTAAAATTATATTACAGTTATTTCAAACAATTGATATATAGTCTTTTAAAAAAAATTCCTAAAAAGTATATAGCAATTATTTCAAAGAATTGTTGTATAGTCTCTCTTTTTTTTTTAATTTTTTTTAGAAACTATATAATGATTCTTTTTAAATAACACTTATTGATGATGTTGTTATCTATGAACCATTATTTTTTTATCCAATGACATACATATTCTTTCTCTCTTTCATTGTTACTTTCTACATTTAAATTTGCTCCTCACACTTAACATTTACTATACTCAATCTGCCCCCTCTCTTTCATGCAACCTCATTTCTCTACTCCATACTCAATCCTCTCTCTTACTCAAGTTTTTCTTTCATTCCTGACTTTAAATCTTCATCCTCATCAACAACACTTACATGATTAACTTTCACCACAATTTTCAGAGCAACATATCTCCCTTCTCCATTCTATGTGCATGCACAATAGCCATTGTCTAGTTTGTGTGGTACCTAATATCGCTGACATCACTCTCCCTCAACTCTATTTCATTGTCATCCGTGGTTATTTATTGTTAAATAGAAGGCTAGTGTTCCGTATTTTGTAACCACCATTTGTAGTTTTTGGTTTCAAATTTGTGATTTTTCATATCTATATAATAGTATTAGTTTAAGTTTGTCTCCTTCATGAGATTGCTTCTTTAATTTTCCAAATCTCTAGTTTTTCTTTTTATTTTACATTTAAGTTGTTAAATGGAATACCTTGGCATCAATTGTTGTTAATGTCATATCTAAATATTGTCTTTACTAATATAGTCTTTGTCTTTTTTTTTGGCACTCCACTTTGCTTGAGATTTAAGAGGGAAAAAATAAAAATAAAATATAATGTAGTGGCTATTAGAAATGCAGCCCTTATTTAAAAAAAATGCTCATCTACATAGCAATTATTTCTAATAACTATTATATAGTTACCAACTAAAAACCACTATATGTAGACAAAAATAAATGCTACATATAGTTTTTTTTAAGTAGTGCATATTTAAAAAAAAGTAATTAATGAATAGTTATAAAAACCATTCAATGGCTTATATTTAGACTAAATAAGACTTTTAGAAGACATTTTATATCGTAGCCCGAGTGAATATTATTCAACACTCCTCTAATTTTATTTATTAATCAATTTTAATATATTTTACAGAGATTAAATAAAATTTTAAAATTTATTAACTCCGTCTTAAAATTGAATAAATTCTTAAATTTATTTCTATTAAATATATATACTTTGATAATATATTTTCTCTCTTTAATATGATAGAAAGAAAAAATTGTGCTGAAATTTTAATAAATCATTTATAAATAGAACAAAAAAAATCTTCCCTCTTAGCTTTATGAATAGGATTAAAAGAAATACGGCATTAACATTAATATTGTGGGGTCTGAAAATGGAGGAAGTCAGTAGTGAAGTTTGTGCATGGAAAGTCGCAGCTCATTGAAGAGATAGCACTGTATTAAATCACGCTTATTGATAAGCGCTCTCAATAATTTGCCTAACATCAATTATTGAACGAAACCGCAAGGGGACACAGACCCATCTATTCTTTCGCCTTTTTACTAAAGAGCTTTAATTTGAACTTGAACCATTGACATTTTAGCACGTGATACATTTTTGCAGTACCCTTAAAAAAAAAAAAAAAGAAAAAAAAGGCCTCCCCTTACGCTTACAACGTTCCTGCCGCTTGTAAATTGTAATTTGGATAAGCAGTACTACAGATTACAGTTTTAAAGCCTCCTCAAGATCTACAAGATTACAGTTTGTACTTTGTACTATCAAGGACAATCTATACGGACTATGGAGTAGACAAAATTACCACGGAGCATGTGAAACCGGAAATATTCGAGAGTGACGACTGGCTGTTTAAGTCCATATGATTCAATTTGAAATCAATTTTATGTCTTGATTATTTTAATTAAAGCGCTCTCCCTCTCTTTATATGTCTATACACACACGCACATGACCGGTTCAATAATTATTGAATTATTCTATTATATTTTTAGTTTAAATTGGATGACAATAAGTAAAATAACTTCCAATATACTTGTAAGCTAATAATACTTCCCTGTTTCATTAATATAAGTCCCAGGTATATGAATCCGAGAAAAAGGAGGAAAGAAGATTGAATCCATACGAAGTACCCAAAAAAATCCTGCTATCAACAAATATCGACAACTGGACAAAGAAATTAACAGCAACATTATTACCAAATCCTGTATAGTTCAAAAAACATAAAACAAAATATTAATTGCAGAGAGCAACCCACTACCAGATTACAAACAAATATATTTACAGCAAGCCACTAAGATCTAAATTCTCTGGAATTTCGAACTTGAACAAGTCGCTGCAATAGCTATCTCTCTCCTCTTCCCCGCTGCTATTATTCACAAGCGTCGATGATGAATTCAATGGGGTTGTACTCGATGACGGCGTCGACAAAACAGAGTCATAGCCCAGGTTTTGCAGGAAAGTTGGATCTTCCAGAAATCCAACTTGATTTTGTCGCGACAGATCAAAGTTACCGGCCATACTGGATTGAACATGGGAATCTGAAAATCCCATGTTCGTCAAATCCCCCGAGAATCCTTCCACGTTGTTAGTTTCCATTAGCATCTGAAACTGACTACCGAACTGTGCTAGTGAGGGATCGATTTGGGTTTGTGCCTGAACTTGAGAATTCCCAGGTTGAATTATTTGTTGTAGATTCTGCGAAACCAGTTCCGGGTTCTTGTTCTTCATCGAAAACAGAGTGGTGGCCATCTTTAACAGTTCCGGGTCCATGAAGGCCTGAGCTCCCAACAGGCCCTGCAGATTCAAAAGCGACGTGTTCCCCAACAAGGACCCGAGAATGGAGGATATGTCGAGAAGATCAAGTCGCGGGGCGTGAGTAACAGGGTCGATTCCCATCCGAAGAAGCCTCTTTCGTATGTGGGTGTTCCAGTAGTTCTTTATTTCATTGTCGGTTCTTCCAGGCAATCTAGCTGCTATCGCCGACCATCTGATAATCAAACACATGCAGAATCTCATTAATTAGACTGATAATATAAACTTACTAAATTTGGGAAAACTCCGTGAAGAAGATCAGGTTAAAGGAACGTACTTGTTTCCCATGATGCTATGGAGCTGAATAATGATCTCCTCTTCTTCGAAGGAGAACCTTCCTCTCTTGATGTCGGGCCTCAGGTAATTAGTCCATCGAAGTCTGCAACTCTTGCCACATCTTTCAAGACCTGTAAACAGTAAATTAGGCGATGCTTGGATATGATTAAAGAGCGGAAAACCAGAACAGAACAGATCAAGAAGAATAAGAAGAAGATGTTAATGACTCATTAATATATACCAGCATTCTTGGGGAGGATGCGCCAATTGCCAGGGCCATGAGCTTGAATGTAAGTGATGAGCTTGGCGTCTTCTTCAGGAGTCCAGGGACCTTTCTTGAGACCATTTTTGTCGCAGCAAGGTGCTCTTCCCATTATGGATCTGGAAACAGAAACAGAGATGTAAAGTGGCTATGTTGCGTGTGTCTGAGCGAAGGCCGAAATGAGGATCAGATTGAGAGGGAAAAGTGAAGTTTTGTTTTGGTCATAATGGAATGACCATCTCTGCGTCTGGTTTTATAAGGAGTTCGATCCGTGTTTTGAAGTCAAAGGATTTGGCGCCGGCCTTTTGCCACCTGCCTTGCTCACATTCGTATGCTATTTTTGTACACGTCCCCGCAAGTATATTAATGCACATCAATGTATATATCTACAAAAATTAGTGTTAGAGTTTGCAATGTTCATCGTGAATATCATGAGACACATACAGGAAGCATCATGTGAGATTTACAAGTTAAAAAAACTCATTTAGTCTCTTGGATTAGTCTTTTGGGGGGATTTTTTTTTTTTTGGGAACCTGTGCTCTTCTACATACTCATTCTATATATGAGAAAACTTGTGCAATTATTTGACAGCTGAAGAGATATGCGGGGACAAATTAAGTGACGGATCGGATCAGCTGACTTTTCTGTATGTTATGAAACTAATCCATAATCCTTGTTTCGGGGTTTTTTTTTTTTTTTTGGGTGGGGGAGATAAAGATATTGACTTTAGGCGTAGAGAGAGAATTATGAGAATGATGGACTGGGTGGACGGTTAAGGTAGATGGGTTCCTGTATCGGACATTCGGAGAAAATGATAGCATGCAGTTTCGTCAAGTTACTTATTCACGCTCTTTTCTCCTCATTTTTATCCCTTTTCCAGTCCCTCATTCACCCCCACAATATCAAGTTTCATGACATGTCTATGATGTTAATTACACCAATAACATGCAAATATACCAATTATAATTTATTTTATCAGAATACATTTCATTTTTCAAACTTCATAGCACGCATTAAAAAATGTTACTCCATTAGATTTTAAACGTAACAAGTAGTTAACTGATTTACATAGATTAAAAAAATTAGGTAAATTAGTTATTTGTAGATTAAAAATTATATGTCGATTTTATTAAAATGCACTTCTTTTTTATAACAAAAATATAACCTCTTTTAATCTGTTACACTGGAGTATTATGAATTTATGATATACGTACCTTACATACATTATACAAGAATCGAACTATAGAGATAATTTAGTTAATAATAATAAACATGGGAGACAGAGAGAATTGATGCTTTATGTTTAGAATAGTAAAAGAAACTCCCAACTAGCTCCTACATTTAGAAGCAGACCAAGTAGTTCATAGTTACATTTTCTCACCATTTCTCAAGATCTTCTAATCTTCTTGTCTCCATACATTTGCTCATTATGTATGTACACCTCCCCACTCCGTTCTGAAAGGTAAATATCATTCTGGTCATTTAATTATTAAAAATAAATTAAAACTTCTCAGTGGATGCAAGTGTGTAAATTTCAGGGAAATTCCTCCTTTTCTTAATAAAACGAGGAAATTAACTAATTCATGACAAACGTTTCTCTGTGAAAGTCAGTCTTCTCATCTCATGTATAGCTCGCTACATCCTTTTGTTTTTCCCTCCAGCTTAACACCTTTCTTTCTATGTAAAGTTTTTTATTTTGATGATATAAAAGAGGTAATAATGCACCAAGCCACCAACGATAATTGGTTTAAATATGAGTTTTCAACATTAAAAACAATTGTTGTCTAGAAAAAAGCGCACAGAGAAGATGATGTGTCATCTCTTTACCACATGTCTACCAACAAGTGGCCAACTCTTGTGGTCTGGGTCCTCTGCAAACAACTTTTGTGACACGTGTTGTTTCCTCTTCCACCAGTGAAGTCAGCTCGCTCTCCCTCGACAATTGTCTTTCGCAGCAAGCGATCAAGGTGGTTGCTTCGTCTGCTAAGCTAGCATTCATCGCCAAAATATTCAAAACCCATTGAAAAATGGGATCGCATCCATCAACCCTGTAAACGATATAGGGTCAAACTCAACTAGAACTGTTACTTTACTCTCACAGCCTGCAGAAAATGAGCTTCTCATCACCCATGTCAAACCATCCTTATCGCTTGCTCATTCTGATCTCTTGTTCTTCACTCTCACACACAAACTAAATAACCATCTAGAAAAACCAAATCAATAATCTTCTTCTTCGTATTTATAATATATATGTTGACTACCCTCTGATGTCCATTTTAAAGCATAAATGCTATTAAATTATTAGGTCTTGCATTGTCTCTATGGTGCTATTTCTGAATCTTTTAGGTTGATGTAATATTAATACAGCCGTATCTATATATATATATATGACCATATATGTATACGTTGTTGATTTTATTAAATCTTGAGTATTTGAGCTGAATTAGCATCGGGTTTTGGTTATTACTTGCCAAAGAGAGAAACAGTTGATGGCGTAGATGACAGCATAAACAGTGAGCCATCCCTAAAGTTGACTAGAGTATATATGTATGGTGTCCAACACTCCAACCAACTTTGAATATAAAGCCTTTAAAAATTTTGTTTTAGTCTAATTTTTTATTAATTAATTAGAATTCTAGTTAGTTAGGCTTAACGTATTTTAGGGTTGCGTGTTTCCTATAATGTAAAATGAAATAAACAATAATTCATGCATGCATATGAGATAATTAATATGTTGCCCATGTTGCGTTCATATTATGGAAAGTGGGCAGCGATTCATCCAATCTCAATGCGGAAAATTTGAATGAAATATAATAGTTACAATAATACGAGCTGAATTCTTCGTTTCTTAATAAACGACAAACAGGTAGGGCTGCTGCTGTCGACGGTGGTTGAGTTGCAATTTACGAATGACGTGGTGTACGACACGTGGTTGCATTTTCATGGGCGTTGCGGGTGTACGCGAGCTGAACTGATCTCTGATCGTATGTGATCCTCTCCCCTTGGCCGCTCGCACTTAGTTGCTCCGTCTTCCGCGTGTGTTACGTTCTGTTCTCGCTTTCTAATAAAAATAAAGATCAGGGATACATCATGAGAGATCGAATTTTCATTAATGTTTTTTTTTATGAAAAAAAAGTCCAAGTGAATTGGGTACCAGAAGTTCATTGGGACCAAATAATGCTTTCAAGGTTCAAATTCAAATGATATTTACAAAAATAGTTATAGATTGTTCATCAATGATATCTTCATATCGATAGCCAAATTTAAACTTACAACTTTATGGGTTATGGTATGAACTCTTGCCTAATAAAATTACATTTGTTGGTATTAAATTGCCATTATAGATCATGTATTATAAAAAGCAAATTATCGCATTGAATTGGATCAAGCATCTAGGACAATTCTTGTGTTGAGATTTTTAGCTATTCACCTTCTAAGTATAAAAATCCTTTACATTTTGACTTGACATGGCCTCGCCTTGCGTAGCATAATTTCCACCGTGTCCTCACACTAAACGATGCACATTCGCTCAAATGCCCAATAATTCATCCAACAATTTCATATTTTAACTTTAATTTATCACTTATTATTTTAATTTACGAAAATCATTATAAGTTTCAATTTATAATTTGAGAAAAATTACATATAGATCCCATGAAATAAATTTATTTATAAATAAGTCCTGTAAAATTCATAAACTGCAACCAGGTCCCTTAAGACATTAGTGTAGTTTGAAATTCGGGTATAAAGGCAATACTACCCTTGCCTGTAATTAATGCATGATTAATTTAATTAATATATATATGCTATCACAATTGTAAAAAGCTAAAGTAATAATTATTAATTATTAATAAAATAATTATAAACAATCAGTGTTAATTTTCGTTAGTAATGCATGATTGGTTATTTATAATATATGTGAAGTTGCAATAGTAACATATTAAAATGATAATTATAAATTATTGATAAATTTATTGTAAATTAGTTAATTGATATAATATATTTTTAATAGGGTATTATTATTTTTGTCCTCCAGTTTCAAATTAGATCCTAAAAGACCTATATGTGGTTTACAAATTTTGCAAAACTTACTTAAAGATAATTATGTTACATGAGACCTACACATTAAAAATAATTATGTTACATGAGACCTACACATAATTTTGTCTATAATTTTAATTGATATCAGGGAAAATATCTTCTATGTAAGGTTAGGGGTGATCTGGTGCGAGTGCGACAAGTGAAAATAGAAATGAAGGAAACATCAAAATATATATGACTCGTGTTTTCGTATAAAAAACAATGAAAATATAATATGTAGAATAAAAGGAATGGAAAGTATCATTAAAAGGCTCTCAAAAGAATTTAATATTTAACAAGAATTTCTAACAAATAAATATTTACAATTAACTAATGAAGTTCAAGTTTTAATAAGTATCCAATTCATTTATATTCTTATCAAATATTAAATTATTTTCAGTTTTTTTTAATTAGAATACTAATAATGGATATTATTTCAAAGAAGTTTATCTGCTTCCCTTTTTGCAGTGGCGCAACGAGCTATAGGACTAATGACACGACTAATGGTTCAAACAAGGTCTCCGGCTAATAACTTCATCTAATGCATATAAACTTTGTTTTTTTATTGAAAAAAAAAAAACAAATATGAACTTAAGAGTGTTTCTCTGGGTAAGGACTAAGGAACTTCAGGCCCAAAAAACAAAAGGACAAAGGAACTTGAAAGTAGTAAGAGAGCTAGCCCGTTTCTAGAGAGAGAGAGAGTAGGACCAAGGTACCCAAAATTTTTTTTTTTTTTTAAGAGGGCCTTGACCTTGAGTGTGTAGGGATCCCATATGACCATAGCCGTAAGCTTCCTTTAAGACCCAAAAGAATTAGCTAAAAGACAAAGATCATGGGCCTGAATCCATCTGTACAGTACTTTATACAGTTCGCATAAAAAGTCAAAAAATGATCGAGCACTTGAGGCAGTCCCAACCCTAACGCCATCACTTATTTGAGTTAGCTTAAAAGCCATAAATGTTAAATATTATATTATGTTAATTTTTATTTTTGATTTAATTTTAATTTTTATCTTAAAAATTAAAATTTTTTAAACAACATAATAATAGAGGGTACTTTTTTTTTTATCTTTATTAAAATGAAAACGAGTATTGAAAGAGTGAAAATGAAAACATATGAATTAATCTCTTGTGTTTATTTTTTAAAATATTTTCAAAAAATATTCAAAAATAATAATTATTAAAACATTAAAACTTCATTTAAGAATGCAAAATTTGTGAATTGAAAGTTTGGGAAAGAGTTGGTAAATGTTGAGTAAAAGCTGAAGTGAATGTTAATTTTGTATAATTAATAATAAAAAAATAAAATATTCACGATAAATCCATTTGGGTTCAGTTTAGCCTAGATTTCTTTGAATTTTTTACTCTATGTGAGCTAAAAGTCGAGCAAATTCTAAACTCTCAAGAGTCCCATCCTAAGAATTTTTTAGGCTTATTTGGCTATCCTGATAATATAACTGGTTTTGTTTGCTGTTGTTTCATTGCAAATGGTTTGGGGCTTTTGGGTGTCATCTAAATCTTCAATCTAGAATTCAACATTATTTAATTACCTGGAAGGAAAATAGGACTCGTAATCAAGGGCAGTATTTTAATAATTTATTAAAGAGCTCCAGTACAGGAGGTGACGAGATTATTTCCCTAATATTTGCAAATCGTAAATCTAAGGCTGACTTAAAAAAAAAAACAAATCAAGTTATATGTAATTTTTTGATGTTTCTTTAGTCAACTTTTCCCCCCAAATTCAAATCCTTGAGGAATATCTTATTTTGCTCAATTGAGGAATAGAGTTTGAAAAGTGCGAAAATGTATGGTTAATATAGTCTAATAAAAAAAGAGTCGAGTTATATAAATACAAAAATATCTTATTTAACAAATAGGGAAAAATCATATTTTCCATGTTGTAAATTTGCTTTCAAAGTATTCAAAACAAATAGACTAAAATATATTTTTGGTCATTTAACTTTACATAAGGTATTACTTTGATCCCTTAATTTAAAAAAAATATTGTTTTCAATTCTCTCTTTTTTTATCTCAGTTTTAAATAATTACTTTTTGTACCAATCATTATTATTAAAAAAATTTAAATTTAAAACATGATAACATTTAAGAATGTTTAATCAATATTTAAAAATTTAATATAATTTTTTGAAAAATAAAACTAATAATATCAGAGTTAAAAAAATTAAAAAATACTTTATAAAAAGAAATAATAAGAAGGTTAAAATATATTTTTGATGTTTTTTTTTTAAAAAGAAACAAGTGAATAAGTGATTAAGCCTCGAAGGAGTACAAGTTCTCAACCAATGACAAGGCAATCATAACATGTGGTATCTGGATGCGTTAGAGAAACGCTAAAATTACAATTCAGATACGCATCAACCCCATTAATACACGCGAAATCTTAAATTTTGGGGTAAGTGACCCAAACTAGGATTTGAAAGTTTGGAGTCCTGGTTCGACGACAGACATGAAATGTTCATATTCATCCCCCCTGAAAACCAACCCAACCTCAAGTCCACCTTCTTCAGATCCACTCTCAGCAAGAGACATGCACTTCAAGTCATGGACCATCTCAACCTTTGTGGGCCTCCCAAACCCAAAATCTGTCTCGTAAACGGTGAATTTCGGCGACCCCGTCACCAACACTGTGCTTCCTAACACGAACGTTTTCTGAAAGCTTTCCTTCCACTTTTCTGCATCTTTGAAAGGTTCTTTCTTCATATCTTCTATTACCCCTTCAATCACCTTCACCGCCTTCAAAAACCCTCCTTCTCCTTTCAGCTCTTTCCTCTTCAGCGATGCATAGCATTGTGTTATGCAGTTTCCGAAGTAGTTCTTTTGTACCGGACAATCGAGGCGGTTTCTGCAATCTGCTGCAAAACGAAAGTACTCGTCTTTCTCTTCTTCATCGTCATCTCTATATCTCGTCTTAACATAGCTGGTCCACACAAAACCGCATGTCACCACAAACTTCGATAGATATTTCGGTGATTTCGATTCGTCACTTTTTCCCCACTGATTCATCGCCCATTTTCTCAGTGCCTCGATTTCATTTCTGCCAAACACAATCGTTGCCTTGAAAAAATTGTCAACCCTGATGATGCTCTTAGATGTTTTACCCACGAGACTGTCCTTCCATGCCGACCTCTCCATAAAATGGTCTCTCAAGAAAACGGTTTCAAGGCCCCTCGGGTCTTTGATCGCTTCCCTATCATACGACGGCAGAGACTTCTCCAGCAAAGTCGTATCTCCACCATCGGATCTACAAATGGAAGCCCACGTTTTCATGAAATGGCTGCAACAACTGGCATCCATCACGTGGCAATACGTGATGGCGTTGCAGAGGCCAGCGTTAGGAAAAACCGTGACTTGCAAGGCTACGATTGGGAAGACGAACGTGGCGTCAGTCTCATCGACGCCTCCATCAACTGTACTCCATGACAGCTCGGGAACCAAGCTGTCCAAGTCTTTGAGATGTCTGGGGTGGTTGGCCGCATAATGATTGAAATTATCAGAAGAGGATTCGGCCACCGTTAAGGAGACGGAATGTTCACCGGTGCAGTGGATGAAAGGCTTATGAGGCGGCGGCGGACAGAGGAGGTTTCCTGCGAGAGGGAAGAAATGGTGGAGAGCGATGGAGAGAGAGTGTTTGAGAGAGGGAAGCGTCGTTTGGATGAAATGGTGAGTAGGGTAAGGAAAATGGTAGAAGAATTGACGCCTGACATAGATAGGACCTGCAAGAGGGATGTCTAGGAATGTGAGAGGAAGAGTAGTTCTTTCTGGAGGCATGGCTGGACGAACCTTGGATTGGTCCAGAAGCTTGTGAGTGCATGAACATTCCATTCGAGCGATCGATCTCACGATCAGAGGACAGTGAAATAGCCATAGATATATCAAAATATTTGTAGGATCACTAATAATTCAAGAAATACAAGATTCCAAGGCCTAACAATGACCACTAATAATCTAGAACGTCATTTGGGAATTTAATTAGTTGCATTTTCTTAATGTTTGCTGGTGGATTGACTATATTTTGGGTGAATGATTTCATATTGAAAAGTAAGATGAAGGAGAAAAAAAAGAAAAAATAAATAAATTCTACCACGACTTATAAAACTGAAAGTCAATTTATGGTGGGCACCTTGAACTTTGCTTTCCTTCTTTTCTGTTGTCATTTTCTTCATCCATATCTTTATTTTTTTGGCCAACATTTTCTTCATCCATATCCACTCATCTAGGTCTCCTAAAAATTAATATAACGCTAAACGAGAATAAAAAACATTGCAATGACTATGAAATTAAATAAATCAAATCAAATTAAATATTTATAAATTATGACTTATGACAAAATAAGTAAGAAAACTAATGTAGCCAATTGAAAAACTTGGAGAGAACGATAGGTAGGTTTTAAAGAGATCAATTGATTTAAATTAAATTTTAAAGTACTACATTCTAGAAATTTATAAATTTAGCTTTTAATTTTATAATTTGATTGTGATAAATTTATAATTTTTTTAAATTTTAACATAATTAAAAAATAAATAAATTTATTTTTCCTCTATTAATTCAGAAAATGACATGACTGTCACTCGAAACGTGGAACCTTAAGTGTCGTTGTTCTCATCTACAAGCATGTGGCTGGCGGAGTCGAAGTCAGTGTCATGAGAAGTGTTCACTATTTATGGGGCTCTCTGATTTTTTTTCTTTTATTGCTTATTACTGGAGGCAAGTTTATTTAAAATATGATGAGATATTAAATGTAAACACCTCTTTACAATAGAGATTTGAACATTAATTCACTGCATTGTGAAAGGACTAATTACTTTTACTAAATTCAACCCCTGTTGAGGGGGCTCTCTGATATTTTAATTACCAGTTAAATGCTAGTTAATTATTTTCCTAGGTTGTGTTTTGTAATAATCACTTCCTTTAATTTTAAAAACATGTTTGCTAATTAATTAATTGGACTCCCAGTGCTTTTCTCAAGCAAGTGGGCGGGATGTTGGTACGTTTCAGCGTTTTGTTGGCATAAAAAATATTTTTAATTTGATCAAATTATATTATTGACAAAAAATATACACGATAAAAAATTTAGATATGAATATAAAATTAAGTTTATATACGTGCATCAAATATAATTCGTCCTGGAGATAAGGACGGGGTATGTATGGCTATTTTTCTTTTGTTAGAAGTGTGCATGACTATTAATCCTAGTCGAGTGACTGATGACCGAGGTTGTATAATCACCTTTAAAGAAGCAATTAAGATTATGAATCAAAGAAGAAGCTTATTTGAAGCTTGAGAAAAAGGAAAAAACATGTATAAAACTGTCCATGCTAAATAGACAAGAGAATAACGACATCTATGGATGTTTGAAGTAAATGAGAGACACGAGTCATGAGAATTTTGATTTTCTACTGCTACCTTCACTACTACCTGTTTGCAGCCTCTCACAATAAGATACAGAAAAAATACAAAATAGCAAGTAAGAAATGAGCCCCGGGCTTGAAGGCTGAATAAAGTGGGACCGGGATGACCATAAAATTAACCTTGCTTCAAAGTTCCCTTTTGTTTATAAAAAGGCATAAAAAGGGGGAAAAAAAATTGGATCCCTTCGAACCTCTCTGTTGAACTTTAACAGAAGGATGTTAACTATTAGATTGCAATTTAATTATGTCAGGGGATGAATTACAAATCTTTCTTTCCCTTAATAGGGAGATCAGAGGTCTTTAATTGTTAAATTTTTTTTAAAAAAAGTTTTTAAATTCTCCCTCAAAATCACTAATCACAATCTAAACCTCGTTTAGAAACATGAAATTGGGATTAGAAAAGTGAAAATAGAAGTATAATAACCAAAAAATAGGTTGTTATTTGGTTCAATGGATCTCACTTTTTCAAAGAATCTGGTTTTCATTAAAAATTGGTGGACATTAATTACTTCCACCTTCATACCTATATGTAACTCACTTTCATGCGCATACTAAATACAAGTATAAAATCTCATTTCCACCTCACTTTTCTTATATAAAAAACTCTTCGCCATGTTACTGAAAGGGGCACTAAGATTAATGTTCCTCGATTGAAGGAGCTGACTATAAATTTTGCATTGACTTGGATACTTTAGACAAATTCGGTTCATGTTAAGCATATGATCGGTTATATATTCCTTAAGAGAATTTAAGTTTAACTTTACTGAAGAAAGAAAGAACAAAAATACTTATCTAGGATCATTATCTAACCTATTCCACTTTGAACTGGTCTTTGTAGCTATCTGCAGTGCACAAATTTAATTTTTCGTGTACAAGTATTGAGTCAATGAAGCAATAATGTGGAACACAAACCACAGGGCGTGCAAAAGGACTTCAACAATTTTATCATTGCACTCCTAAAACTAGATTATTAAACTCATATAATCATAAGTGAATAAACTAATCATCTAATAATATATTATATAAAAAATGACAAAAAACAAGAATATAATTAAAACTAATTTTTTATAATTATATGACTACACTATACGTGCAGTTTTTTTTTTTTTTACAAATATCTTGTATTCAACATAAGCGATTAATCTAGATTATATTATTCGACCATAAAGTATACAGATATTTTTAATGAATGGAAGTAATGCATACTTGTGCAACTTCTTTTGCTTAATGATGATCATCTTCCAACCAGAATGCCATTTTTTTCTTTCAATTTTTCGGAAGGCTATGATTTTCAATCTAAGAACTAAAAACTTAAAATACAGACATAGAAAAATATGATAAAAAAAGTATAATATTTGTGAACGTCACGCCATCACTCTCAAGTATATAGTGTTAGGCTAATCCAAGGAGGCTTTTGGGAAGAAGCTTCTGGGAAGCAAGGAAATCATACAAAATATTGCGTACTGGTTTGTTTGGCTGCCAAGTTTTCTCTCATAACTTCTTTTTTCTCTTTTTCCCCCATACAAGGCTCATATAAGTTTGGTTGTCAAGTTTAAAGGACAAGGGCATATGATTCAAAAAACACTTTCGAAAATATTTACTAATCACTCGTCAACAAAGTCTTTGGCACGAGTGCATGTTTTCCAACATTTGGTGTTGAATGTTTTATATTTCACAGAATTTATGTGAAATTATCTTAATTCAATTGTAGTATTAAACAGCTCAAAAGTTTTTTTAATTTTTGGGAAATATTTAAATATGATATTTTAAATTCTTTTTCTGTGTACAAATTATATTTTTGGTTCTTTACAATATTATTGCTTTTCCAAAATGGGAGCGAAATTATATATACTAGTATTTGATTTGAATCGTTTTCCAAGTCGTAGCCTGAATATTCAATACGAAATGCTTTATCATATTCGCTGATTGTCACTACAGCGCTTCAACTTTTTGAAAAGGTTAAAAAAAAAATGTTTAAGACTTTAAATTTATTTTTTATATATTTTTTTTAATTTTTAAAAATAATGCAATATTGTTTCTATTATTAATAAAAGTTAACTTTGATCATTAATTTACTAAAAAATGATGGAAAAAAACTTTAAAATTACAAAAAAATTACATAAAATGACCAAAAAATTATTAAAAAAAGACCAAGAAAAAAAATATTGGTCATTTTTTAATAATTTTTAAAGTTATTTTTTGTTATTTTTAAGTTAATTAATGGTTAAAATTAATTTTTGTTAACAGGGGTGACATTGCATCATTTTTAAAAGTTAAAAAGAAACATTCCACTGAAAAGAGTTATTATTATAGACGCTCTTACCTGTAGTTTAGAGATCAAAATGTCATTTAACCATACCCTTTCAGAAATTACGTGGAATGTGAAATGGGAGTTTTCAGCGCCCTTTAAAGGTTTACTCACAATCTCTAACTCTGCCTAATTTCCATACCAATAGCTGCGGTTAAACGATGTATCTCTTCATCCCCACACAGCACGAGCCAGTGAACAAATTCCCAATGAACGTACATATTTTTGGTGTAGAATACTCCCTTTCCTTGTGGTCTTATTTATAAATAATTTTCAATATATTTTATTGAAAATTAAAAAAAATTTTAAACTTTATTAATCCTATCTTAAAATTTGTTAAGTTTCTACCTCTATCTTTTACTAAAGACAAAATGAATTATTTTTAATAAACTTTTCTAGCATTTAATGAAGGCAAAACAGTAAAAATAAACATAAAAAAATAAGAAAGTGTATTATAAATAGAATAAAAATTAATCTTCTCTCTCTGTCCTAACAGGACAAGAGGGGTGTTGAAAGTTCTAAGCCCCATGGCAATTGGGAATAATACCAATAATTGCAGTGTTCATTGCCATTTCTATTACTGACCACGTAATTGGTCTGTTCAGATAGAAAATATTTTACTCATGTTTCTTGATTTTGACAGAATTATTTCACGTGAAAAATTAAAAGTTGAACATTCAAAAATGCTACAAGCAGAGTTGAGAATAATATAACGTAATGATTGACTTACAAAAGAAGTTCGAGCCTCCGGCAAATTTTGACCAATTAATTTGTCGTGACTCCAACTCTGTAGGTAAAGGGGTGAAGTTGTTAAAAACTAAGAGCAAGAACTTTTGTCATACATAAGTACATGGTACATATGTATTTTCCACCTCGAACCTTCGGATCACAAATCTAAAGCTGATAAAAATATTAGAAATTAAATATACAACTTTTTAATTTTTACTGCTTCTTTTCACATTCAAATCCTTCAGTCGTAGAATTTGAAATGTGAGAAAATGCATGGTTAATATAGTCTAATAAAGAGTAACTTCCAATATAATAATATATTATCATCTTAACGAATAACGGATAATTCTATCTATTTTTTTTAAAAAAAAATTTGCCGTTTTCATAAACAATTATGTATGGTAACGTGGTAAAAGCCGTGTAGTCCTCTCTTCTTCTGGTTGTTTCCCATTCTCACCTAAAAACAA